CACCTACTTTCCCAATTATTAAATACCATAAATATTTTGTGCACAAAATTTAATTAACTTAAAAGGGACTTACAATAAACATGTACTTTATTCTATTTTTTATTACATATATAAGCGGTACTCATAATAAATCAATAAAAATAATTTACAAAAGAATCGATATTATTAAAAAATATTAGTACAAAAATTTAGAATTTATAAAACCTATCATTGCAACGTTTATTCAAATTATTTGTGTATAAAAATAATGTATGTTTTTAAAAATATATGTATTGGTCGATTGAAAAATTAATTTTTGACGGTTTTCTATAAACATCTCATATTAGAAACATTGATCCATTGAAATATCTCAAAACTAATAAAATAATATAAATCAAAAGCATTTCTATTGACATTTATTTGATACGCTACTGGATAATAAAAGTAACAAACCCCGCTCTTCCCCTCCTAACAACTGGCTTGTATATGTTGCTTTCAAACAAACGCAATGTAAATTTTTGACGTTCAGTTATTTATTATTATTTATTTATCTGAGGACATGAGGACATGATAGATGTAATTATTATTGAATAAGCTTCTGGTACTCACTTGTTGTCTTTGTAACTAAGAAAGACGGATCTACTAGTTTCTGTGTAGAGTACAGAAGATTAAATCAAAACGCAAAAAGACAGCTATCCACTCCCCCGAATAGACGACAAACTAAACACTCTATCATTGCGAGACATGGTGTCCGCCTAGAACTGCATTCTGACCAAAGACGAAATCTTGAATACGAATTATGGCAAGAATTGATGAAACTGTGATAATTATTGAATTAAAATAAAAAAAATAAATATTGACCGACACATTTTGCGCTGGTGCCACGGTCAGAGATAACAGGATATGTAACTACTAACAAATATCGTGCGGTCCTAAATAAGACATATTCTAAGGGACACAAGCGGGTATATTATCTGCTGTTGTCATATGCCCATTTCATTATTCTCGTTTTGTTTACAAAATTATTTACATATATTAAAAAGCTAAAATAATTCGAAATATTTCATTGCAACTCAACCCAAAAAATTTTGAATCATTAGTTATATCAAATTTAACTAAAAAAGATGCATTTCACTAAATTAAATAATTTTCAAAAAATTTCAAAACCTAGTAATCGTAAGTTGGAAGTAGCAACAGAGCTTACATCGTTACGTTGTTTATTATAAGCGCACATCGCTTACATCCTGACTTACACATTTATTCATTGATAAAATAAAGTTGTATCTGCGTAAAATCTTTCTCTTTATCCCCTTTCTTACTTCTCATCTTTCGTCTTTTCACCGCGGACCTATAAATTGAGTGTTATTATTGTCGACTTAATCTTGGCATAGTGAATATTATATTTTATCAATGAATGACTATATCTCTGCCCACGGTCCTTGGTCCCATTAGGACGAGCCGCCACTTTATCCTATTATTAGAATGTGCAATGCGTAGTATTGAAATTTAAATTTAAAATTGACAACAAATTAGGTTATTAGAAAAATGTTGATTAATTTTTTAAGAATATGTGTATTCTGATATATTAAAAAATAACGAAATAAAAAATATGTAGGCTTGTGTGAAGCCAATATTATTTAGCTGTTTGTATGGTGCTTGTGTCATTATTTTCGAAAATTGATAATAATTACAAAAACATATGGTACACAATAGGGTGATGCTTAAAAATGAAAGTTAAAAAATTCAACGGTTCACCCTCCCATTTTGATCTCTCATATGTAAAATGGAGTCAACTAAAATTTTGTTGGATTTCATTAAGTTTTAGGGGTCGCTACCAGGCTTTAAATTTCATAAAAAATGTTAAAATTCAATATAATTTTCATTAGTAATTTTTAATATTATAAAAAAACCTTATCTCACTTAACACTTTATTTTTATGCCAGGAAGACTCCAATCTAACCACACAACCCCTCCCTTCACTCTAGACCAACTCCCCCCCCCTCTCCCACCAACTTGAGGAGCCAGTCACTGCTTGTCAGTGTAGTCGTAGTGGCTGGCTATGATTAGTGCGGGTGTGTGCACGTGTGCAATTAGTCTAACCTTCAAAACAGTTTATTTCGCTTATATTATAAAGACTTAAAGAGTGATTTATTTTCTGTGTTTTTTTTACAGTGAATCTAATAAGTTTCGTAAGTAAGAGTTTTTATTTGTGGGAATTATAAACAATAAACTATATAATGAATAAATAAATTTGTATAGACTGGAAGGTTATATTACTTGTTTTGGCTGTTTTTAACAGACTTCAGATTAATGTGTTTAGGCCTAGGACTCTCAATTTTTGATTTTCATAATTTTATTACTGTTATTTATGGCATATTGTAAAGTGCCTGTAGTTTCTACAAGAAAACAGACGGAAATATGGCTAGTAGGTCAAATTTCTCAATCAAACCAAACTACCTTCTAAACGTGAAACTCTTTCTGTATTTTTTTATTACAAAGAACAGGAAAAGCAAACAATCCGTGAAGCTGCTCATTCGACTTCCAAAGATGTATTGGAAATTTGGAATAAAGCTAGAATTCCAACACAACAGAAAATTCATGTTGTGAATAAGATTGAAAAGCTTTTTAAAGAGTGGCAGAATCTAAAGAAAAATAAAGAAAATAAATCTAGAAGGTCAGATGGGTTAAGGCTGAAAGAAGAAACATGGAATAATAACCTAGATGATTTATTTGATGTAGCATATGCAAATGCTCTACAAATGTTTCGCATTCAAGAAGATAGGGATTTTTTGCTGGCCCAGCGTGAAAAAGGACGTCCAGGTAAAATGGGTAGTGTTGACAAAAAACTGTCAAAAAAGGAGAAAGAAAAAGAACTTAAAAGAGCTAGAATCGAATTGTTTAATGCAAAAGAATGTGAATCTATCAATTCAATCACTTCTATATCATATATGTTTAGCTCATCATCCGACGATGAATCCCTTCATGGTGAAGACAATGATTTTTATGGCCCTTCAACGTCATCAGCAGGTGAAAAACAAAATGAAGGTGTGAAGAAAAGAGGTAGAAAAAAACTACTTAATGAAAAACTAACTACGAGCCTGGATGTTGCAAAAATAAGCGATCGCAAAGCAGCTCTTGTTCTCACATCCACTTTGAATCGCCTTGGCTGTGATCCTGTTGAATATAATTTAAACTTTTCTTCCATACGCCGTCAGCGACTTGAGTGTAGACAAAAAATAGCTGAAAATATAAAAAAAGATTTTGACACTGATGTTCCTTTAACTGTGCACTGGGACGGAAAGATGTTAGAAGATATCACAGGCTATAAAGTTGTTGAACGACTTCCAGTTTTAGTTTCTGGTAAAGGGGTGGATCAGCTTCTCTGCATTCCAAAACTTGAGTCTGGTGAAGGTGAACAAATTGCATCAGCAGTTTATGAATCCTCCTTTCATGGGGTTTACTCAATAAAGTAAAGAGTATGAGTTTCGACACAACCGCATCTAATACCGTGTCTCGAAAAGGGGCTTGTATTTTACTTGAGCAGAAAATGGATAAGGAAATGCTCTGGCTAGCATGTAGGCATCACATTATGGAAATTATGCTGGAATCAGTTGTTCAAAATGAAATTGGGCCTTCTTCTGGACCAGATAATGTATTATTCAAAAGATTTCAGAAAAACTGGCAATTAATCAATAAAGAAGAGTATACGACATTAGACACGGATGAAGAATCTATTGAAAAGCTCCAAGATGTGAAAGATAAAATAATCAATTTTGCTAAGAAACAATTGACAGAATATCAGCCCAGAGATGATTACAAGAAACTCTTACAACTAAGCATTGTATTTTTGGGAGGAGAACTAGAAAATGACGTGCCATTTAAAAAGCCTGCAGGTCTTCACCGAGCACGTTGGATGGCAAAGTCTATCTACTCACTGAAAATATTCTTGTTTCGAGAACAATTCAGATTAACAAAACATGAGGAAAAAGGTTTGCGAGAAATTTGTATTTTTAGAGTCTTAATCTATATTAAATATTGGTTCCAAGCTCCATCCGCTTGTTCAGCCCCAAGAAACGACTTAGAACTCCTTAAAGATTTAAAGAAGTATGAGCATGTAAACCCTGTCATAGCTAGAAAAGCAATAAATAAAGTATGTGGCCATTTATGGTATGTCTCAGACGAACTTATCGCCTTATCATTTTTTGACGACAAAGTGGGAAATGATACAAAGAAGAAAATGGTGGAAGCTCTAAAGAAAGAAGGAGCTGATTTTTGCCCGAAAAGAATTAATGTAGACATTGAAAACATTGTTAATAAAAATCTAGACGATTTTGTCACTAGTGACACCAAATGATTCTTTTCTATTACCGGATTAAGCTCCGATTTCCTCAAGAAAAAAGTTGAAGACTGGATCAAAGACAAGAAATATATTCAAAGTAAGGAGATAGTAACAAAATTTAAGGTAGTCAATGATACAGCAGAGAGAGGGGTGTCATTAATCCAAGAGTACAACAAAATACTGACCCTAGACGAAGACCAGAAGCAGTATATTTTGCTTCTTGTGAAGTCCTTCAGACAAAATTTCCAGAACTACAAAAAAGCAACTTTGATGTCTGCATTATGAGTTTTTTACGTGTTAATTATGCCCCAAAATATTTTTGAGGACTCTAAACAACTAATATAAGCTTATATTAATTATGTAATAAGTTTTTTAAAAATTGTGACAATTAAAGAAATTTTGTAAAAATCTGTTTTTTGTGTAATTTTATAATAAATACAAAATTTTTTAAATAATCACTTTTTGGGAAAATGTTAGATTTTCTTAATCTTTAGTAGCGACATTTTTCTCAAAAAATCTCAAAAAATTAATTTAAGTTTCTCTTATTAGGTAGAACAAAATGGGAGGGTGATCCAAGAGAAAAGAAACAAAAATATTTTTGGGTCTTTTAAGCATCACCCTAGTACACAAACATAATATACTTGATATTTATAAAGTTTTATTATTACAAGTGAGGGAATACCTGTGCCATGAGCTCCAGTGTTCTCGATTGTCTTGAATGATTTTAGCACCATCGGTAGGCATAGTTACGTGAGAAACTATAGAAATAAAAACTGCACCCATTGGCCATATCGAATGAAGAATACCTGCATATCGAGCACGTGTTGACCTTGAACATGTTTCTGACAGGTAACTGAACGATAACGGGAATGCTCCTGATATACCAAGGCCAGAGCAAAATCTAAAAATATATAACATTTAAAACTGTTATTTTAATATTATCGATCATTTCCTATTATTCGTAAATTATTCATAGTTGTATTTGGACTATGCTTATCTAAAAGAAACCAAGTGACAAAGTAGCAAAATGAGTTAAATGCACCAAGTGATAGAGGACGGTTTAGCAATGTACCTTTTATAAAAAGATCCAATTTACTAGCTCTAGTCTAGTGCCATCAAACGACACATTAGGAAACATAAATTCCTAATTTTAATAAAGGGAACTATCTGCCAAAAACATTTTCAAACTCAAGTTTCTAGGTAGTTTAATAAACTTATAAAATTGTGCCTATGATAACATAGAGATATATTGCAAATTTCTATAACGTCAGCCACTAATAGTGGCAACGTAATTAGAGGCAAAAAAATTCCATGCTAAAGTAAGACTTAAGCAAACCTGAAGTTTTGACATTAGTCAACCTCATTTTAAACATTTTAAATTACAGTTCATCTTTTTTGTTGTCTATAATAGTACATAATATAGAAGTGGAATTAGAAATTACCATTTTAGAAGGTTAGATGACGATGAAATTAAATAGTATTTAATAATAAAAAACTTCTAACTGATACGAATATCTGCGATCGCACCCGAAAGCTATAAAGCTGCCACTACCTGCTGTCCTTAAATATCCACAATACAATTAAGGGCAGGTACAATCTTTCATTAGGCATTCCAAACAAAATAGCTACCAGTGGGTTTTGACAAGTTATGTTATGGCAACCCTGTAGGCCTGGTGATTTGACAGGGTCAATGAAATAGATAATCATATAGATTGATCATTCATGTTTTTGAAAATGAACATAAGCTTATGCCTTAAAGTAAAAATGTAGGTATTTATTTTTTTTACTATATTTAAAGGCTGAAAATTGGTTTGTAAACACATTTTTGCTAAACGGATTCTGATTAATGAGTATTTGCGAGGCAATATGGCCACTCGCAAACGACCCGCTTTAAGCAATCTATCTAATAACTACATATGTATCATTGACCCTGACAATGAAAAAAAGTCCACAGGGTAGTCATATCTAAACTGTCAGTTCCCACTTGCCAGCATTTTGACAGGCCGTTGGAATGCCTAATAAAGTCAGTTCTAGAACGTAAATAGAGAGTTATTGCAAGTTCACTTAAGGTCAGTCACTATTAGTGCCGCTCTTATTTTGACATCTGAGCATGCGCAGATCACTAACTTTAATAGAGATTGTGCATGTCCTTAATAGAGAGATATTGCAAATTTCTATAAAGCCAGCCACTAAACTTTAAATTATAGTTAATCTTTTTTGTTGTCTATAATATTAAAGAGGCATTAGAAATTATAATTTTAGAAGGTTTAAATGACAATTATATTAAATATTTAATATTTAAAAACTTCTAACGGATACGAATATCGGCGAGCGCATCCGAAAACTATAAAGTCGCCACTACCTGCTACCCTTAAACTTCCACAATTAAGGACAGGCACAATCCTTAATAAAGTCAGTTTTAGAACATAAACATCTGCGCATGCTTAGATGTCAAAATAAGAGCAGCACTAATAATGACTGACCTTAAGTGAACTTGCAATAAATTCTCTATTAAGGACAGGCACAATCTTTATTAAAGTTAGTGATCTGCGCATGCTCAGATGTCAAAATAAGAGCGGCACTAATAGTGACTGACCTTAAGTAGACTTGCAATAACTCTCTAATGATCTGCGCACGCTCATATGTCAAAATAAGAGTGACCATGGGTAAGTTCGCTTTGGAACTCGACGGATCGCACAGAGCGCGTACGGAGTGCGTGACATCATAGACAGAGTTCACTCTTTTTAGAATCTCAAGACGAACACAAGGGGAATGACATATGACACTAGTGATAGTTTGCACTTGAATGCACTTTTGTGTGTGTCTACGGACTGTAAAAAAATAATTTTAATCAAATAGAAAATAGTTCTAACAGAAACAAGCAAGAAATATTACGTGTAAAACTGATTAATCACCGATCAGAAAATTGACATTTGACATTTTTGACACATTCCTACAGATCTCCATCGGCCAACTCGGAGAAGAGTGAGCGCGCTCTGAGTACGTGATCTGTGGCAAGCCGAACACAAAAGAGTACGCTCTGAGTGCCAAGGCGACCAAAATCGAGGCATACCGAGTGCACTCTGAGTACAGCGAACACCAAACCGAACTCAGCCCATGAGTAAACTTGCAATAACTCTATTAACTATCCGACACTAGTTCAAAAATCTGGAGTTTTCCATACTCATTATTTTAATGAGGCATTATCATCTTTAACCTCTAATAATCTCCAATTTAGCGCTTGTTTTTTTTTTTTAAATAAGCATACTCCATTTATGGCGTAGAAATGGGTATTAGAATGTAATAACGCAGCCAGTTTTATACAAAACTAGATCTAGTTCACCTTGTATTCTAATAGCTTTTTTATGAATACAACAGTAGTACTGTAATATTAATGAATTAAATTAAACTAGACCGTTACTATGTATTCATATACAGGGTGTCTGTAAAAGGTCTTTACAAAAACATACCACATATTCCTTAGACCAAAATTAGTCGATTTAAGTAAAATTACCTTAGTACAAAGTTGCTTCGTTTGGGCTTCAGAGGGCCTTGAAGTTACAATTTTTAAATCGTTTTTCCCATATAAATTTAAAACGGCATAGGCGATTTTGCTGAAATTTATTATATTGGTAGAGTTTTATGTGGCAAAAAAATGGTATTAAAATTTTGTCCGATAATAATACATAGGCGTAGAACTTGATTTTTTAAATAATTGCACCTTTAAAAATTCTACGCCAATGGAAGAAAAGAAGTTTAAGTATGAAATTTAAATTGCGCAACTCATTTACTTTAAAAGAGGTACTCTTGATACTCTCATGGTTTTCGCTAAATTTCTGTTTTAATAATTTAGAGTGTATAGGTTTCACAAAAATATTTATTTACAACATAATCAAAATAGAGATTTTACAAAAATTGTTCAAAATGTTCACCATTTTCACGCATACAATGATTTATACGTCGAAGAAAATTAAAATGTATCCTTTCCATAACTTCTTCATCACCTCTAAGATTGTTTATTGCATCTTGAATACGTTGCCAGAGTTGTTCCTCATTTTCTACAGGTTCTCTGTAAACTGTGGATTTCAGATGTCCCCATAAAAAGTAATCCATCGGTGTTATGTCTGGGGAACGTGGTGGCCAGTTTACAGGTGCGTCATTACCTCTGCCTATCCATTTGTGTGGATATTGTTCATTCAAGTGGTTTCTAACGTTTAAAGAAAAATGTGGTGGATCTCCATCTTGCATAAACCACATATCTCTCCGAATTTGGAGAGGTAAATCTTTTAACAATTCTGGCAACGTATTTTGTAGAAAATCCAAATAATTTTCTCCAGGTAATCTTCGTGGAAGTATGACAGGACCAACAATGAAATTACCAATTATTCCAGCCCACACATTAATTTTGAATTCGTGCTGAAAATGGTTTACCTTTATTGCATGCGGATTTTCAACGGCATAAACATGTTCATTATGGGTATTAGTTATACCTCTTCTTGTAAAACCCGCTTCATCGGTAAAGAGAACCTTCTTGACAAAGTTTGAATCTCTTTCTCTTTGCATATTAATAAATCGACAAAAACCCAAACGAATTTGAGGATCATGGACTAATAATTCTTGTACTGGCTTCTTATGGTATATATATATAGCAATTGTTCTCTAAGCACTTTATGAACGACATCTTTACTTACTCCTAGTTCCCTTCCAATTCGTCTGGTGCTTAATTCTGGATCTTCTTCAACACGTTCTAAAATGTCTTCTTCAACTTTAGGAATCCTTACAAAACGTTCTCTTCCATTATCAACAGTGTTGGGAGCAAAGGAACCGGTCTCCCGAAGACGTCTCTCAACAGCAGCAAAAGTTGGGTGGCTAGGTACACGACGATTTGGAAACCTTTCAGAGTATACCCAGACACTCTCTCGAGCATTTCCTTCACAAAATCCTAATATCAGTAACATATCGGTATATTCTGCATTGGTATATTGTACAGCCATATTAATAAACCACGCATTTGTTTTTTTAATTATTGAGTCCGATAGAACACTTTCAATCGTTAATAAGAGATTGGGTGTTTAAACTTGACAATATTTTTATTTAGATGAAACTATGGAAACCAACAATAAATGTTTTTGTATACGTATTGCAGGAAAATAATTAATATTCCTCAAAAAATAGCACATGGCAAGAATCGAGTATTTTTGTTAAAAGTCTTGATTAGACGTGTTGAAGAAGATATGAAAAAAGTACATTTTTATGTTTTCCATCGTATAAAATTTTGTCCGATAATAATACATAGGCGTAGAACTTGATTTTTTAAATAATTGCACCTTAAAAAAATTCTACGCCAATGGCGAAAAAGGGGTTTGAGTATGAAATTTGGATTGGGTACTCATTTACTACAAAAAAGTACCCTTCATAACACTCGATTTACTCTCATGGTTTTGACAAAGTTTGTATTTTAATAATTATTGTTTATGTTCTAAAATTACTAAAATGCAAATTTCGTCAAAACCATGAGAGTAATCGAGTCTTATCAAGAGTACCTTTTTAAAGTAAATGAATTGCGCAATCTAAATTTCATACTCAAACTCCTTTTCTTCCATTGGCGTAGAATTTTTAAAGGTGCAATTATTTAAAAAATCAAGTTCTACGCCTATGTATTATTATCGGACAACATTTTAATACCATTTTTTTGCCACATAAAACTCTACCAATATACCAAATTTCAGCAAAATCGCATATTATGGTGTTTTAAATTTATATGGGAAAAACGATTTAAAAATTGTAACTTCAAGGCCCTCTGGAGCCCAAACGAAGCAACTTTTACTTAATTCGACTTATTTTGGTCTAAGGAATAAGTGGTATGTTTTTGTAAAGACCTTTTACAGAAATTTACAGAAA